TGGTATATGCACATGTATGCACCTTAGACTTGTATGAGTCTAGCCATTATCATATGGCTTCGTAGAGTGCCTCTGCGCCTCTGGCCATTGGTCTACTTCCACCGCCGACGGTTGCAACAGGTACTCTGCACCCAACGCCTCACGCTTCAATGCGAAGATAACAAGATATATATACAATGCATAGAAGTACAGATGCGGAAAATATCAGAACAGTCTTTTCAGTTCGAAACGATGTTGTGTGATGCGAAGATGCGGCCGAGTATATTTCGCACAGGGGCAGAGAGCTGGCTTCTGATTTACTGATACATTGATGACTGTTTGACTTGTGATGGCAACTAACAAGAAAGATGCCGTGGGGAGGTGTGGCAAATGAGCCCGGTTCTTGCTCCGAAGTCTTAGTTACTCTGATCTACAAATTTCGTTGCCGCTTGGGATCCGTGATACCTTGCTGAACCTTGCCTGCCGCGTGTGCATTTATACTGGCGCTGGGAGCACGACGCGCTTGAGAGCCGGTGACAGAATGCTGATGCGACGACCCGCCTTTCGCGAAACTGTTACTGCTGCTACCAATGCTGCTCGCTTGCTTCACCTTGCCCTTTTCATTGTTACCACCTCCGCGGTTGCGCTTCTTGATCACATCCGTCTTAAGTGACAACGGTCGCACCACGCCGTGAAGCTTGTAGAACAGTCCGCAAGCATTGCCTGCCGAGTGAAGCGTCAAGCGGTCAGTTGCAGATTTTTGTTCCGTGGTCACTCCTGGTACTCACATAGTGGACTGCCATCAGGATCGCGGCGCCAAAGCGGGGTCTTGGTCGTATTGCAGTTGGAGCACATAGTCGGTGGTTCGTTGCTAGCAGCATTCATCGGCGCAGCGACATGCTTGAACACGCCCTGGTCGCCAGCTGACCGGTTCGTGTTGCTGTCCGCTGTGTCTCGCCCTGTCGCATTACTGTTCTGGGGCTGGCCTGCTGGGAACGTGCTCGTGGATGCCCGGATCGGGCTGTCGGGTTGTCCGCGAGAAACACCGGGTGCCGTCATGGACAACGGAGACGGATGGCGCGGGTGGCCGTGCATCGCGGCTGGAGGGGTCGCAGTCACTGGAGATCCAGTCGAGCTCGAGGGACTGTAGCCCCAAGATGAAGCTTCATCCGAGCCGTTGAGCAGAGCCGAGTACGACGCGTGATGCATGGATTGACCAAAGACCTGATTAGGGTCGATGTGCGTGAAGGACTGCTGGTGTTGATGATGCAAGAGTGCATCCGAGTGCATGAACATGTTCATCAAAGCCTGCACATCTGACGTCGTGGCCAACTCGCCGCCCGGCATGGGGTGCGTTGCGACCGGATCAGAATTCTGCAACGCCGACGGCCCTGCGGGGGACTGGTGACTGTTGGTCATATGACCGTTCGCGCCGCTGCTGGCAGGTGAGGCGCCTTGTGACGCCCCGGCCATGGCTTCCAGAAGAGCAATCGCGGTCGAGTTTTGCATGGCGGCATGCGCTCGCTGCATCGCCGGTGGCGCTGGTATAGCAAAGTCAAAGACTGTCGTGGGTATAAAGTCGGTGAAGCTCGAGCCCGCTGGGGGGGCATAGCGTGACAGTCCCGCAGCGATGCGCTGGTCCTCTGTGAGTGGCATCTGTGACGCACTTCGCGCTGGAGACTCTTCATCGCGAAAGGGACGTTTGCGCGAATGATCCTCCTCTGGAGCTGCGCCAGTGGTGCCGCCCCGATCCCTTCTTGGTCCTCGTGAAATGCTGCGTCCTCCTTCCTTGACCTTGTGGTCGAAGCTGGTCTTGCGCACAAGTCTAGGCAGAAAGCCGTACTCGGGATGGTGATTCGCTGCGTGACTAGAGAAGTCGCCAATTCCCGGAACGCTGCCGAGCAGTTGCGGAGGGGCACCAAAATCGTGCGCTGCACCGATCGCCGAGAGGTCCGCGCTGGCCTTCTTGCCTCCGTATATAAATGGGGCATTGTGAGGGTCCCTGGACGTTGTGCGACCGTTGTTAAAAAGGTCCACATGCACAGCAGCTGTGAACTCCTCCTTCATCCGATGTCTCCGTCGTTCACGCTCCTTCGCTTCGCGCTCTGTATCGGCGCTGCTGTTGCCGGCTGCCTGACCGGGATTGCTGATGGACTGCAGCGTCTCGTACCACTCTGCGTCCTCGTCGCCGAAAGTCGTGAATCCAGAGGGGCTCAATCCGGAAGACGGCGGAGCAGACGTGCTGAGCAGCTTCTCCTCTGTTACAGGCGTCGCATCCGCTGCGTCATCGATCGGGTCAAGTGGCCTGTCCGGGGGCGCGGGCCTGCGGCGCGAGATAGAGCGGCTCGCGGAGCGCCAATCCATCGGACCGACTGAGCGGGAGCGCGATCGGCTTTTGCTCTTACTGCGCCAATCCATCACATCGTCTAGGTCCCTATCTGCGTTTCCGCCCGAGCCGCCCGCAGTGCCGGTGCTAATTCCTGTGCTGCCACTCTGGACGGTACCGCCGCTATCAGGCGTGCGCGACGCTCGTCCCCGCCTGCCGCGTTCCTCTTCCTTCTGCACTGCTTCGACGAAGCGCGTCTTTCCTCTTCCCTTGCTGACGACGGTCGTGGAAGCACTGTTGCTGCTACTGCCGCCCCACCGGTTGTCGTCGCCACCGCTGCTGCTGCCCACGAGCGAGCTGAGCGCACGCAGATGCACTGCACGCAGCGCTGGCTCATCGTTGTGCGAATCGCTGCTGCTGCGGGATTGCGGCAGCGATTGCGGAGCAGACGTTGGACTGTGCGAGGCAGAAGTCCCAGACGAGCTCAATGCCGCCTGATTCCAGCTTGTGCTGGCGCTCGCGTTCGTAGCGTCTGTTTCGGACGCGGAGACCGATGATGGTTGCGCGGACCGCGAGCAGGAGCCGGAGCTCGAGGCTGCTGCAGATTCATATGCAGATGCTGCAGCTTCGCGGGCTGTGGCCTTTTCTTGTTCGCGTTGCTTGCGCAGCGTCATCATCATCATGCGCCATGTTAGGTTCTGACAGGTAAAGTGAAGCAGCGACAAGGTCAAGCACGTCAGCAGATTGGATCTAAAAACAGCGAAAGAACCCCTTTCTGGGGTCCAGACATACCTCCATTCGTGCACTATTCGCCAGCTGGCTCTTCTGCTTCGCATACATCCTCCAGATCTGCGTCGCGAGTGGATCGCGCTTGGCCATCGCCTCCGGATCGAGCTCGGTGCTATCGTCGTCATGCTCATACGGTCCGGCGCCGGAGCCAATAGCGCTCCCGAAATCCAACGAGGAGCGCGGAAAGCTCGCATCACCCGCGCCTACACTGGTGTATCCATTCGCGGACCGGCTCGTGCCGAGCGCATCCAGCTGACTAAGCTCAGCCGCACCGAACTTGGGCAACGGCCCCGAAGCCAGGCGATATGAGTTCGTCTTCTCGCCACTGCCGTGGCTCTCACCCTGCGCACTCAACGATGCTCCTGTCACCGCGCCGCTCTGCGGATCCAGGAGCGTCGGGCTGAATGGCGCGAAGTTCGTCGCCGGAGAGACTGCCGTGGAGCTGCTGGCGAGCGAGCGCGAGTCGCCTTGTGGTACGCTGAATGCGGTGCTCAGCGTGTCGGCGGCCGAGCCAGGCAGCGAGTCTGATGCTGTTGCTGCCGCTGCTGCAGCTGTGAAAGCATCCAAGTTGGATGCAGTCGACAGCGGCGACAAGTTCGTGCCCGCGCCCACGCCCGTGCCTGATACACACGCTTGCAGCTGCACGGGCGCAGACCGCCGTGCAGCTTGCGCCGCCGCCGCCGCCCAGGCAGGATTGCAGTACGGCGACTGGGCCGAGCTGCCGCTTAGGCTGCCCGTCCGACTGTGGCACCCAGATGCCCCTGTGCCAGCCCCAGCCCCAACCGGGACGCCGGCGTCTTTCTCCGTCGCCGCTTCACCGTCGCTGCCAGCCCCAGCGCTGGTCGACTGCGCACGCGAGCGCGCGCACGCCGCTTGTGGGGACGCGGCGGTCGAGTTTGCCACCGAAGGCGCGCGCGACGTATGGCGGCTGCTCCCGGCGTCTCTCCCGGACTTGTTCGCTGCGGCACTTGCTGCGTTCGCCGCCGCGACTACCGCTGCTGCATTCGCCATGTGGTCTGCGGCCGAGTAGCCAAGCGCAGGCGGGAAGAAACCTTGGCTGAGCGGGGCTGATTGAAGCGAGGGCGACGGCAGCGCGGACCCGGGGCGGCTGCTCGGTGCCACAAAGTAGGATCCAGTCGCAAGCGGCATTGGTCGGATGGGCGTCGATGGCAGACTGTTGTGCGCGCTGTTCGGGGCGGCGTACCAGGCTGTATGCGGATGCGCATGGCCAGGTCCAGCGTTGCCCGGAAATGTGGCATGTTGCTGCTGCGTTGCAGGGCTCGCGGGCACAGACGGCGGGTACATTCCTCCGTTCAAAGCGGCTGCCGATACTACTGCTGCTCCAGCTTGCGCTTGGGCATGCATGCGCGCGCTCATCTGCTGATGGATCTGCTGCTGTATGTGCAGCGTGTGTGCGAGCGCCGACGACCCTGCTCCGGACCCCAACGCAGGGGAATTGCTGGGCCAGCTGGGTTGCAAGCCTATCGGATGCGGGTTGCTGCTCCCCGATGCTATGGAGGAAGAGGAAGGGATTGCAAAGCCGATCGTCGAGTCGAAGTGCTGGTTGGGTTGGTCTAGCGCCGAGCCAGGGCGTGAGCTATCCCTCCCTGCTGCTGCTGTAACAGCAGCAGCAGGTTGCGACCACGCTGGCGCTGTGAGCTGGTTGAAAGCGTGCTGCAGATGCGCATGGGGGAACGAAGCTGGGTACGCACCTGGGCCCGATGCGCCGGTCGATGCGGGTAAACTCATGGCATACGACCAGTGCTGGTGCGGCATGGGCTGTCCGCCGGCTGCGTGGACCGCGGTGGCGTGGGCAGCGGCGTTAGCATTGGCAGCCTGGTTCATCGGAATGGGTACGCCGGCGGTATCCGAGCCGGGGTGAAAGGTGAGAGAGGATAAGGTAGAGGGGGCGCTGAGCGGGCCCGCATTGCTGCCTGCTGCCCGCGACGCTGTAGGATGCGGCATGGCTGGAAGCCTGCTGGGTGGAGGGCAAGGGGCAGCCTCCGATGCGCGCGAGTATGGCGTGTCGCTCGCTGGCAGCTGTTGCTCCAGGCGGTGGCGGAGCTGACTGGGCGACAGCCGGTCGAGGGAAGGGGGAGGGATATGGATGCTGTTTCAGCAGAGGGACGGTGATGTGCCCATGCTATGTGGCGCAAGGACGAGCTTCTCGAGTAGCGAGAGAGCACACCGCGAACGGCCGCTGAGCTGTGCTTACTTTTTTGGGTGCAAGTGAGCCAAAGTTTGACGGGGGCGGCCGCGAGAGAGACGAGCGAGCGTTTTTTGCTTCTCTTTTCTTTTTGGCAGTTTGATCAATTAGCTCCGGCACTGCACGAACACGCCGAGAGGCCCCCCTGCCCCCTGGTCGCTGCTGGTGGTGATGCTGATGGCTGCAGGGTGATGAGAGCGTCGTGAGCACAGGACCGTCTTGCTGCGTACGTCGCTGCTTTGGATGGGGGATGATTGTGCAAATGTCTGATATGTGTAATGCACACATCAGCAAGAGATATTGGTGAATGGCCCACTCGGTAGAAGGCGGGTGCCGTGCGGTGGACACAGACGCAGAGAGAAACTGATGGCACTGCACGACTTTCTCCTCATGCGGGCACCGGGTCAGCCACTCGGAATTTGTCCACAAGCCCCGCTCAGACATACCGCCACAGTTCGCCTTCCAGCATTACATAATACAGTGGCCGAAGAAGCGCCCAGCTGGAGCAGAGAGGAGAAACCAGGCCGAATCGCCGGCTTTTCCAGTGGTGTCTCGTTTGTGCAGAACGTGCGTGTCGTTGGCTTGTTTCTGCCGCTTCGAACTGAGTATCATTGAACCAACGCTCAACTTTCAACAGTCATCACTCTCACCCTTGCTGCTTGTCTTTCTTTACCCTCGTGCTTGCAGCCTTGAGCGGTAACGTCTCGCAAACAACATCCACCTTTCCTCCTTCGGTAGGATCTTATCGCGTAGGCTCCTCACTATCGACCGAAGGACGACTTGGGACCTCTTAGCCCTGATCCGCCAGAGTCCGGCGCAGTGGTCCAGGGGTGCCGCCCGATCCAAGCAATGGAATAGGAAAAACAGCTGGAGCAATGTATGTAATTACTCCACTGAATGGAGACAGACCAAGTTTGCTCAGATTTACCTTCTTTGTAATCACTTTCATTTGGCGACTTGCTTCTGCAACGCATTCGTGAGCCCCGGGACACTAAGGACGGAAAGTAACACGCGACGATGCATTCAGCTCTGGTACGGCATGGGCCCTACCATTGGCATAACCGCCAGCGTCTCTCCCTCCTTTCTCCCCTGCCCTCACTGCTGCTGGACTATGGTATATGCACATGTATGCACCTTAGACTTGTATGAGTCTAG